AACATAATCATCTTGAACTGACATTTCTACATCAAACTGTTTTTGTTTTATAATTTTTTTTTTTTTTTTTTTTTTTTTTTCTGGCCATTTTAGAAAGCTTTTGGTAAGCGAGCTGGGCCTCACGAATTCTAAGACAATCTATTTTTTTCAGACTCTTTACCATATAAAACCCTGGTTGCATTTCTAATAATTCCATTACTTTACTGCGGCTTTGTACACCATCATTAAAACATATTACTGCATCGAACAAACCCAATTTTAAGGTGATAATACTCACAAAAACAGTTTTTGGTATGCGTATCCAGATGCAGTTATTAAAACTTTCATTTGGTGTTTTGAGTTCGTCCGTGTAAGCACTTTGACACTAGTTTTTTGACACCACATCACATCTTTGCACGGAATATTAAATTATACGCATTTTATCCTGCATTTCATTTAAACTTATTGAATTCAATATTCAAATACTATAATCAATCTTAAAGGATGTAAAAAAGAAATTTAAAAAAAAAAAGAAACAGTTTTTCACAGACTATTCAGTATTTCTCATTCAATTAATTCAGTTCTCACTTCGCGACAATGCAAAAATACATAAAAACTGAAAATATCTATATAAAAATTACGAAGTAAATCTTAAATACTTATTTCTTTGAATAAATTGCAGAATGGATTAAGCATGATTTAATTCGCTATAATAAATGAAGACGTTATCTTTGTTGTTGCAAGGCTTAGTTTCTCTAAATTGGCAACAAATCCACTATTCTGTTTAGTTTCAAATGTAAGCAAACATGGCCGCCATGGTAAAAATACTTAGGCTTAGCCGCACTTAAACAACTTTTAAATTGTTGATAATTCTACAAATTTGCATGCAGATTTACTTGTAGGGTTTATATTTATTTTAACTGGTGTTGTGGTGTGGTGTATTTAATTATGGCAAAGCACACTAGGGCTATCTGCCTAAGAGGAGGGATGCCTTTCGTGGAGGACTTTCTAAGGGAAACTGGCTCGTATACACGTTACACATGGGGAAAACCACGAAAACACCCATGCAGCCAGCCCGTTCGCGGGATTCGAACAAAAGACCGAACTACCAGTGTTCAGCGACTTTACCGCTCGGCCGCTGGTGGGCTATTTATTTTAACTAACATTTATTTTAAGTTTAAACTATCTTTCCTGTCAAGCCTTACTTTCCCCTGGAACTGCCAATGCCAGAATATGTAAATTTCAGTAGAACGCGCAAGCATTCAAATTATCAGCGGAAGTAGTATGATTTAAATAGAAGGAAACGAGTTCGGTGAGAGAGTTATTCTTACTTAGCGAGCGCGGAGGTAGTTATCGAGAATTGAAGAACCCCGCGTTGCGGCCTATGTGCTTGTCGGGAAGTAGTTGCAATTGTTCCAGTGAGCTTCAAGTCTGCTGAATTAGCTGCGGTATTTGTAAAACGCGGTGAGTTAGTTATTTTAGAGAGCCTCGTAGTTAGAATATTGTCTTTACTTTCTTTTCAGGTTTTTATTTTTATTTGACTGCCTAGTGGGCACAGTCTGTAAGCGTCAAGAGGACGCTATTGTAATTTATTACGTTGAATAAAAAGGGACTTAAACCTTTTATAAGACTCTGTGGTTTATACAAGCTTTCACAGTCACCTCTTGGTTGCGTGCAAGTTAGAGGCGCGCAACGTTATATACTAAAGGCATAAAAACCTTAACCGGAGGATAAGAACAACATAATTCAATCATTTTTAAAGCAAAAAACACAATTTACAAAAATATAAGAATATAGAACTGAGCTCACTGTATATATATAAATATATTAAACTACTTGCTAAACGACTTACTTGGGAAACATTTAACAATCTAGAATCAATAAGAGGACCATTCATGATCGGACCTCCTTTGGCAAGATTCACAAATGTTTTCACCTCCACTGATTACCTTGTTTTCGAATTCTTAATAAGCTGTTTTGATGATGTGGAACGTTCACATGGTCACATCATCTTAACCGCACATGATACTTCCGCCGAATTCGCAAATGTATCTGTCTTCTGTTCCTCATATTTGTGTAAAACTGTAGATAATTTTAGACAAATGTGTGGTTACAAATCAAGAAAAAGTTAACTTATTGGCATATCTGTGTGTATATTTATAATTTTTGACTAGGATTTCAGCATTAGGTGTAGTTTTATTTTTTAATTAACCCAAATAAGTAAAAAGTGTAAACCCAAAGTGATTATTTTTCAGTTACACAAAAATAAAATGATTTTAAAATGAGCAACTACAAAGCATCTCCTCTAAACGTTTTTAAAAAGTACATATTACAATAATATGTGGATGACAAAAAAAAATTACTTTATTTAAAACATTTTTGGCGTTTGGAACTTAAAATAAAAGTATCGAATACTCTATCAAGGGTATCGAAAGACGTATACAATTTGAAAGGTACCGTAAGGTATTTTTCATCCGGCATCTTTAAGCATAAGATTTTTTGCTAATATCTATATTTTTGTAGTCCAACAGCTTAGAATTTTATAAAACAAATTCGTAATCAAAATCGCTGTTGTTGGTTATAGAAAAATAACAAAGATGTTATTTTTGCGTAAATGTCACTAAACTATACAGATTGCTATTATCCATCACACAATGAATGTTTCTTTGATGCTGAAATATCTCGTTTTTCGATTGTATGGAACTGTGGTGTGTCGAAATACTATCGAAGCGTTGGCAAGGGAGCTTCTGCATATAAACAAAAAACCAAGGAGGTTAGAACCTCCTTGCAAAAAAACACCCTATCTGGAGACCGAAGCTTCGGAGCAGTGCTTCACTCTTAGTGCCGGGCTGGCCCCTCCTTCCTTTCTTACCTCCATGCGTGTGGTTTGGTGGAAGCAGAGAGGGGTTGGAGACAAAGAATATGTATTGTTAAGAAGGAAAGCTTCGCAGCAGCAGGAGTGGCTCCCTCCGAACAAAAAGGGACACAACTGCGCATGCGTGAAATATCTGTCGCCAAAAAGCGCCAAATCTGAATGTCGCCAAAAAGCGCCAAAGCTGATGTCGAAGTTCGAACAGGTTCGACGGTCACGTTTATCAAGAGTTTAAAGCTATGTGACACCATTTTTTTCCCCTACATATTGACAGATATAAAATCAGACATCAAACTGCGATATGGATAATACAACTTCAACTAGTAAAGCAAAAAATCACGAAAATTCGAGTTTAAATTATCGCGAAAAGTCAAAGAACCTGTGTTCTTCAATTTCCTGTACACGTGGCGGAGGTTGAAAAGCTCGGCCAGGTACATCACAAAGGGGGAAATTCTCGCCAACAGATTCCGTCGCCAAATCCCTTGGCGAATTGTCCCTTTTCTTTCTAGCGGCGTAGAAGACAAACTGGGTTACATTACGTCTATGGAGCCTTTGCTTCTTTACATAGACTTTCTTTGTTGGACACACTCGGACCCGTCTTCCCCGGGGTGCTTTCCATCAAAATGGGGAGGCGGAGCTGAGGCAAATCGCACTGTCACCTGAAAGGTGCTCAAAGCTGATTACCAACCGCAGGCGTAACCTAGAGCTTCTTTGCCAAGAGGAATTTCGTGGGCTTGGTCTGGCTACCTCAGACGAGTGAGCATAAGCAGTAACAACATTATTTTTACAAAGAGTTATTTTTTCTATCATTTCTTTTTTCTGTGGTGTTTCATCGTCAGGATGTAAATGAGTGAGGGTGAACGGGAGGGTATTTAAACTGAACTAGAGAAAAGTTTAGCCAGAGGGAATTTCGCTATTGATTGCGCACGTTGTTGTTTCTTTCAGCTGTTTGAAATCTAAATCTCGGGCTTCGCATACTTGCCGTCGAAAGTGGCAACAGTGCTGATTTTCAACAGTCAGTAATTCAGTATACAAATGAATGAAAAACTGTTGCCAAAACCACACTTCTAAAAGAATGAAACTATTCAAAATGATACGATAAAATCGAGAAGATAAAATTAAAAAAAAAATGTGATTCGAATTTTGAAAAAAATCGCTTCGAGGTGCACTGGCTGATGTCTAGACCCACCTATATACCAAATTTCGTAGCCCTGGGTCTATTAGCTTACGCGCAGCGTGAACGAAAGACACACAGACTCTTTTTATTATATGTAGAGATATATAGTAATATATGTATATTCATGTTCAGTCATGAATTCGTCTAGGTAAGTCATGTAAATGGTAGTAAGAGTTTTTGTAATTTATAAATTATCATCTAACAATTTCCAACTATTAAGTTTAAAAAAAACTAAACAAATAAAAAGATGTTTCGATGCATGACCCATTGTTATTGTATAAATAGTTGATATTGTTACTACCACCCTGCTAGTTTAAATTAATTTGCCTAACCTTGAACTTCTAGTTTGTCTTTAAATTAAGTATGTTCACTATTATATTTAATTTATCGTTATAAGGGGTGATGGATTTGCAAGCACAAGGACTGTGCTGTCTCTAAATAACTGAGTTCAATAAAAGGGTCTTTTACCCCTTCCTTTGTTACATTAAGTATTTACTTGCTAAGACTAAAAGATGAATACGGTTGGAAGTCCCTAACATACTTTCAAGTAGGTCCTGCGGTTGGAAGTTTATGCTAGCCAAGAATAGTAGACCTTACAATATGACCCTCAAAACTGAGTTAATGGAGTACTGCTCGTTTAAGTAAAATATTTTGAAACTTCTTTTATGTAAGATTTTCAAGAATCACCTACCTTTATTCGCAGACCAATGCAAAATCGAAATGGAAACATGAAATGGTTGCATAACGAGTTGTTATATGTTGCTGGATATTTATGTACTAAAATCAGTTAAACTCTATAAGTGTTTTGAAAAGTATTTTTTCTTTGATTAATATTATTATTTGGTTAATATTATCAAAAAAGTCGTAAGCAAACTAGAAACATGAAGCGGTGCGTACTACATTATTGAGGTAATTTTGTTATTATCTTACTGATCTGGCTCTACATATTATACATTGAATAGTTTCACTTACTTTTACATCGAATAGTTGGCCTTGTCCATGTAGCTATGTTTCCTGATAACTTGCATTTAGATGAGAATACAGTTACATCAGAAGAATAACCAAGTTGACATTTGTATAAAACAAGAGATTCCGGCCGATATACTTCTTTATTAGCTCCAGCAATTATGATAGCTCGCCTGACCAAAGGCGGTGGGCCACAGTTTATGTCAGCTGAAAATTCAATAAAATTTAAATACAGTTTTTCATTGCACATATCTTTATGTACTTGAGCATAATTTATAAAATGAGCAAATTCAGAAACTTTAAAATAATTTCTTTTGTAATTAATAATAATCCGAATCATTTAGCAGCTTAAGTTTTTCTAATTAAAAGACTAATATGAACTAATCCTCTCTAAATGAATTTGTATTCATTTCTGTTTGCTACAAAGCAGAAAACCGACGTCACGAAGATCTGACTTAAACACGAATAGCAAAGGGAACGTATAGATTTATCAAAGTCATGGTCCTTGTCTGCTAATGAGTGTCCTATGATTCTTGTGACAAGGCACACATTTCTCGCAACATATCGTCTAAGCTTATTAGAATTTTAGGATTTCATACCAAACCAAAGATCCTATAGGTTTGGTTAAAGTTATTGACAAGGACACGAAGGTCGTCAGCTTAATGGTATTAAGGCTTTGTAAAGGAAACTGGCTTATATTCACATTACATGTTCGAAAAACCACCAATGCAACCAATCCCGTTCAGTTGGTTTCGAGTCCGTGTGAAATTACTGAAATCAGCAGGTCTGAGAAAATTGTGTGAAAATGGTTTAGAGATTTCAGTAACAGTTCCAATATCGATGGCTAGCCGAGTGCTGAACCCAAAAATTAACCCTTGCAACTAAGAACTGATTTATAAAATGCCTTTTTAAGTTCATCTCCTACATGATCATGGTTTTTGCTTATCTCGATTTTCTAAAACCCTAACTTTTTTTAATCTGATTAGTTACATGCTTCTCTTACACTGGAAGTCCGTGAAACTCCGTAATAACAAGTGACCGAATAAGACTGCATTTTGACGAAAAAACAAATGAAGCGAAATTCATTATTTTGTTGGCACCATTGAAGAATTAGAAACTAACTGTCAGTGCTTAAGCTTTTTCAAAATCGAAATCGAAATCGAGTCAATGGCTAGGCGGCAATTAGTAGCCAACCGCTACTTTAACCGTCTCTGTTGGTAAATTGCCCTAAGGCGTTGGTACTTAAGTTTTTAATTAAGGCAATTTACGCCGCGCCAACTAGGCGAAACTTGTCAAATTTTGTGAAATGTAGGTGGAGTAAGGGAGATGATTGGCAGGAGCCTGTCACGCGGGTGGTCACCAGCTTACGCGTACAATGAGAAATATTGGAAATATTAATAATTATCAAGTTTTGAAACAGGTTATCTAGATTGGAATAATTAAACTAATATCACGATCTAAATGAAGACAAATGGCACAACTAAGTGCAACAGATTAGCTAAACAAAATATTCAAATTCATCCTTTCTGTAAAACACAGATTGGACAGTGGTAGTCACGTGGCAGTCACCCTCCCGTGAACTGTCCACAGCCCAATGCATCTTGAAATAGTAGATATCACAATTCAGTGAAGTCTTGGTCTGAGAAATTAAACACTAAAGTTCTTGTACAACACTGAGGCACATGAGTTACTGTAACTATACACTATGTACATATAGGGACGGCGGTATTTGAGCGAAGTGGCAAATGGTGAAAAACATTTTACACTAGCAATAAATAATCAGAGCTTTGAAGATCCAGGTACACGGATCATGTCCATAAGTCCACAATATTACAAAGTCTCTGATATAACAATAAGAAGATTAGTGAAAATGACAAATATAAGATAAGATCAGTGCTTTGAAGATCCAGGTACACGGATCATGTCCATAAGTCTATAAAGTTTCAAAGACACTGGTAAAAATGACACAATGAAGATAAAATAAAGATAATAGTACTATGTACAATATATACATTTCACCATTTGCTGTTATGGAAGATGCCTCTTGGGCGCTTTGCTGCAATTTCTTATAGTAGGATCATAATTTATCAGATTACGGATATGTTCGTATTGAGAAAGTTCTATTTTAGCATAGAAATTGTGGCTCGTGGTGAGAATTTGATCATCTATGGGTCTTATTTTTAGTTCTTTATGTATCTGCAGGTTACGTACGAACCATGGGGAGTCAACAATTTGAAGCTTTTTCAATACTCATCTTTATATATATATAAGCGGCTTAAGTGTTTGTCGCCAATAGTTTATTGTTGCCACTCAAAAAAATGAGCGCGGAAATTAAAGTTTCCGCAGTTTTTAAGTATTATCTCGGCAGATTAAAGTCGTATGAAGATGAGAACGGTATCGATGGATTCGGAGAATTTTTTGGAATCCGAGGATACGCGTCTCGAATTTCAACTCGGCGCCGTTCCGTAGATATTCGAGAAAAAAAAAAAGAATTTGACACGCAGCCAAATCCCTCTAATAGGGAAAACCAAAGAAAGAAAGTGGAAAATGTAGGGAAAGCGTAGGGGAAAATTAGTTTTTATTATAATATCTCGGCTAATTAAAGTTCCACGAAGACGCGAATGGTCAAAATGGCGTGCCACGGACCTGCGGAATCCAACGGTGTGTTTCGCTAAGCCCGGGAGCCAGCCGTTTCGTAGAAGATGATGTTATTATATACGTGTGCGCATATATATACATATATATGCGGCTATATATATATGCTTAAGTGTCTGTTTGTCGCCGATAGTTTATTGGTTGTTTGCGTAACGGTACTAGTCATAGAGTGAAGTTGCCACGGCATTCAAATAGTCCATATACACTGATACCATACATGCAGTTATCATTGTTTTAATTAAATTATAATGGTATTTAAGACGAGTTAAATATTTTGAATTCATACAATTGTTGCTTATTATGCATGTAACTAAATTTACATATGAATTACCTAGAAACTTGCAAACGTTGAGAAATTAAAGGAGACGAAACCTACTAACGAGTTGTGCGTAGTACATCTCATCAGGTATGTTTACCCAAACTCCTATGCTAAATATCCTTTCGCGTAAAGAGTTTAAAATTTTGCCCGATTTTATTCCGACATTAACTGAATTTTCACCAGAATACAAATTGAGCGTGTCGGGGGGAGCGTGAGCATTTGTTTGCATTAGCAATCATCTGTTTTTGAAATGGTTTACAACTGAACGCAAATTGGCAAAGCAAAAATAACTTAAATTTTCTAGACACAAATTGCAATTTAAATTGCAATTTAAGACGCAAATTGAAAAAAGCAAAGGGGCGTCCTCGCCGCCTGCCCTGGGTAATTCAGTTTGAATTAGCAGAAATTAATCTTTGCACAAATCATTTTAATTACAATTTATAATACCTAGAACAGACGTCATTTCGTATGACCGCCGGGCTTTCTAGTTTTATTATAAACTCATAAACTATGTTTAAAGCTATCAAAACGCAACAATGTGCGCGAGTAATACCCGTAATCACTTGATGTACACAGATTTACCACCAGCTGTGACTGAATGCATAATATTGTTAAAACCATGTCAGTTACAAAATATATTGGCAAAAAAAATTTACATAATTTAAAAACTCTCGTTACAATATCATCACCTACATTTCTAGACGAATAAGACATCTGGTAGCATCTAGGAATATAATTAAGGTCTATATATCTAAGAACACATATTAATAACCTCTAGAATGTGTGATTTTTCCAAGACAACGCTCACTAAAAAGTAATTTACTTTATACTGACAAATAACAACACCATACAGATGCTATCTCAAACGCGCGCCGCATGAGTTGTCCGGAGCAATTTTATGGTACTGACTGGTACATTCCTTGTAAATTAATTAGTATTATTATGACATTATTTATTACGGCAAAAATTTGAGAAAAGACTAAAATTTTAATAATTTTGAATCGAGCATTACATTATTTTCATTATCATTCATAATGAACATAAGTAACGTCCCAGAAAATCTACAAATGAAGCTAATTAATTTACAGTCTTATTCAAATATTTGAAGATGCAGATTTGATTAAGTTTTTCTCATAATTGTGAAAAGATAAACACCTTCAGTAACGAATTTTTTAAATAACAATAATTGCTTTCTTTCGGAATACATTTATATATGAATAGTTTTTTTCGTAATTGAAAATTATAAGGCTATAAAAAAGAAGCAGGCTAAAAGATAAGCTTCTTCACATCATTTCATTATAAAATTTATTTAGTAATTTTTCTGGAAGGTTAGAAACTTTAAGTAAATCAAAACGCCATGAGATGTTACAGCTGAAACTGTACAAGTTGTAAGAAATAAGGAACTTTATTCACATCAATAATATTTTCCGTATGAGTCGACAAAAATATAATAAATAAAAGAATAATAATGAATTTTCATTATTTATTTTGCCCCGCTCGGAAGGAAATTGTTTTGTAATTTGTTTATTATTTGCTTAAGTAAGTTATTTAATGGTTAATTTAACACTATTTAAAATAAATGTCAGTGGAAATTTTAATATTTAGCTCTCAATACCTTTGAATTACCAAGTGTAAACAACAGAATCTTCCTGCAGATCCCAAGCTTTAGTATTCAGCCAGGAAATTAATTTTAATTGGAAATTTTTTTTTGTGTCATTATTATTAGCATTTATGCATGTTGTGTTAAATATGTAGTAATGAAAATTGAAATTTAGTTAAAAAGTTTGCTTTGTTAAGAAAAAAAATTCATTTCGGTAAAATGAAAATTCGACCCCTTAGCTGTTTTCATATCGTACATGAGGCCAGCATGCAATTTGAATTTAAAACAATGCCATGTAATGTAATGTAATGTTAAAATCCGTTAAAACCGAGTTTCTGTTTGGTGACCCAATTTCACCTAGTTTCTTCATATGCTTCATAAGCATGTGTCAATTTTACGTTTCTGCCTCAGTCTGCCATTTCGAATTTGGGTATTATTCCCCTCGAATAAACTTTTATAATTTAAGGATCACAGAATTTTGATTAACATTAAATTTTTAGCTATATTTATTTATTATAATAATTTTCATTTAAGAAAGTTTGAACAACTAGCATTTTGCAAGATTAAAAATGCTTCTAATCTAATAAACTGTTAGTCTCGAATCATGATTTAGTGTTTTTCACTTTTTTTCGATTGTGTTGCCATTCGGTAAAATGTAAGATATTTATTTCTCATACTGAATCTGTCTGCTAGAGATTAAGAAAACTAAGCTACTTTATTTCGTGAAGTATTTCCGTTCCTTCGTTTTTAGCTCTGTGGTCTGAAAATTTAAAAAATATTTAATAAATATTTTTAAAAAAATTCCCCTTTCCTCATTGTGATTAGATTAGTTCCTCTAAATTCTAGAATGGATTCTTGCAGGAGAGATTGCTTTTGTGTTACTAACAAAGAAAAACCCTCACAAATTACTCGCGAATAATAAAAAAAATAATTTTATTCAAATTTCGTTTTAAATAATTGCTACAATTTGTTCATTTCCTTCCGAGTGGGGCATGCATATACGTACATGCATACAAATCTCTTCACAACGATTTACGGTCATTATATTTGAAATCATTTCCTGCCTTGTTTGCAGTGATCATTACCATCTTCTAAATGGTAAATCTACAACTGACATGTACAGATCCTCCAAAATACCTTCATTTCGTCGATTGCGATTGAGTTCATTTTGCTACGATTTTGCAACCTGTATCTATTGGATTCAAATGCCAAATGTTCTAGAAATGCCTTGCCAAACATAAACATTTCCAGTGGTGTTTTGGCTTGATAAGCATTACATTTGGGTTTCAATTCATTCTTTTCAGTAGATTTTTATCTACCCTCTCCACAATTTTCTCAAACTGACATTTAAAATAAAATGTCTAAAATTACTAATTATGAATAAAAAAATGGCAGTATAAGAAAACGTAAGCAATATTATATAATGTTTACTATGAGAAATTGTACTAACTTGGAAACAGAAGTAGCAGCCATTTTCCAAATAGCAATGCTTTACTTAGTGATGTTATACAGCCATCTATGATCGACAGTTGAAAGTTCGAATAATATAGAATGAATAAACACAGGAATGGAATCTGTTAAGGCATTTCCAGAAGAATAATCAAATTGAAACTTTTGTCCACTAGAATGGACATAATGCAACGAAGGGTTAAGTGTCCTGTTTGTAGGAAGGAAATGCGTATGGTCAGACGACATGGCACTACGAAGGATATTTTTACTCTTATTTTGTGAATTTATGTAGCGACGCCAGTGTACAAATTCTGGTTCAGATAATTTGAGGAAGTTTTTGGATGCTGTTAAGGAATTTTGTTTGACTGAAAACTTGTTAATTCTTAAATAAGGCAAGTGGATATTTCCTTTGTGTAGTGCAAAGATGAATTTTCTTTTCTATGTTATTTCATTGTTTGATTTAAAATGTAGTTTATTGAGATTATATATATTTTGTTGGCTGCTTTTTTGACTCTTTAAGTGAACATAGTTTGATGTGTACATGGGCAAAAGTCAAGGGACTGCGCAATGCCTAATATGTGCACTTCTCTGATGTTTTTTTAAGTGAAAATAGGTCGATGTATACATGGTTACCGCGTTCGTGCAATTCTTTGTTTTGTTATTTTGGCTTGTGTAGCGGCGAAAAATCTCCGCTACACAAGCCAAAATAACAAGTCAAAGAATTGCACAAACTCGGTATCCATGTACCGCCAAAAATCGCCAAGATACCCATAAATATACTTTTACCGAATATATTTTTTAACTTGTTATCGAGTTGAAATGACTTTAATGATTTAATTTATGATATATCTAATTTTAAAAAATTATAATTTTTATTAGAAGGACGCGTTATACGTACTGTTTCACTTTTCAAATATGCAGAAAATATGTATAATGTTTCCATATTAGTCAAAATGTGTATTTATTTAGCATCGAGTAAAGCATTATGGTCTACACCCTGGGCCGTTTCGATTGATGGTTTCTGGTGATAAACTTCATTAAGCTACAAAAGAATCCTTTAAAGCCAGATTTAAAATCTGAACCCTTTCAGCTTTCATTCCTTTGTTTTATGTAATGAATATATATGTGAAAATTTAGCTCTAAAGATTATAGGTAAAACGCTAGATAAATCTAAATCAAAATTTCTTTCTCTAAATAATCTTAAAAATATCTTCTAAAATAAAGAGATAAAATCTATCTATCTATCTATACTATATATATATAGTATATTGTTTCAAAAGAATAATTTGAGTTTAATTAAAAAAATTAAATTTAAATACATATTTAATTAAATATTCTTTGCGCCATTGCTGCAAGGAATGAAATTTAAATTTAAACAAATTTAAATTCTAAACAAATACGTATAAAAGTAAAAAAGTAGAAAAGCAAAATTAAATTCTAAAAAAGAAAAAAGCCAAAATAATTTAAAATTTAAAAATTTAAAAATATGCAAACATGTAAAAGATTTAATTCTCGAACTAATCTACAATATCATTTAAATTCAGAAGCATAAGCAAATCAAGTGTAAAATCTATCCATGAAAATAAATCTACTAATTTAATAAATTAAAATTAAATTAAACAATTTTTTTAAAAAATGCATATGTGAATGATCGTAGAGTAGGCAGGAGACAGACTTATCAAGGGGAAGTTGCCTCCAAACCTAACTCTCCAATCATTCAATTCGTGTTTCGTCATGCAGGCAAGGGTAAAAGTCAAAACCAAAAGTAATTCCAAAAAAGTGGTACCCTTAGAAATTAACATTTAAGTATTAACATTTAAGAATTAAAGTTCAAAAAGGAAAATACTAATTAAGTCTTTTGAGAAACAAGCAAGTAAAGTCAAGAATTAAACTTTTTCTTAAAAAATTTAATTTTTTAAAAATTCATTTTTTATAAAAATAATAAAAATTTAGAAAACCAATTTATTTAGAAATCCTTTGTCTACAGAAACTTCCCCTACACGAATAAGTATATATATATATATATATATATATGAAAAAGTATATATATATATATTAAATATATATAATATATATAATATATATATATCTATGAATAAGATCTGTCATAATTCCCATCTCAGTTATCCTACATAAAAACACTGAAAAAGGTCAAGAAATTATACTTAAAAATAATCGCAAATAGACTGATATATGAAGGAACACAAATGTTGCCTTTTTAATCTAGTAAAATTTAGCTATTAAGGATTTGTGTGTGTGTGTGATTATGGCAAAGCCTCGAGGGCTATCTGCCTAAGAGGAGGGATGCCTTCGTGGAGGACTTTCTAAGGGAAACTGACTCGTATATACGTTACACATGGGGAAAACCACGAAAACGCCCATGCACGTTCGCGGGATTCGAACCTCGGACCGAACTACCAGTGTTCAGCGACTTTACCGCTCGGCCTAGCTATTAAGGAAATGTTTCCATTACTAAATTAAGAAATAACACAAAAAAAGTTTATTTTTAAATAATTATTGATTTAATCTTAATATTAATTATACTATTTATAAAAAATACTTTATCATTTTTTTAATGTTCGCAACAATCATTTTCATACAATATGGAGAGTTTTCAGAAACTGAGAAAAAATTCATTACTGTTACAAAGGCATGAAAAACATGGTTTTTGATGAAAAAAATAACCTAATTGCAATGGCAATAAAAAATTCTGCTTAAATAAAATTTCGCGTTTTTGTGCGCTTTTTAATTTTAGTAGAAGTGTCTCTATAAACTGAAAAAAAAAAAAAAAAAAAAAAAAAAAAAAACTGAAAACATCTGATCACTTTTAATGATAAAATATGACTGAATCCTAAAACTTAAAACAGTGCAAATATAGGTTATTAATATTATGTTCGTGGCAGAATGCGTTCTGTTTTCTACGAAAACTTCCGTGTTTGTTCAAGGCAAGGCAAATATGATATGAATAGTAAAAATGAAAACTAAAGTAATGCATTGATTTATCTCTAACATCTACAGCATGTAAAACTTTAGCAAAGCAAAAGGTTTAAAAGAATAATAAAATTACAAATAAAGCATCGATTTACCTTTAACACCTACAGAAACCAAACTTCCACCAATTACTACAAAATATACCAGTACAATATTCATTCTGTCTTCCTTTTCATGGAAATCCACTGATCTGGATTATTTACAGATTATTTAATCATTTCTCAGAAACAAAACAAAACAAAAAAATCACTTCATAACAGACTTCGTCGTAAGACATCTTTGAAGCAAAGTGAAACTTCAAAAGGATGCATTGGAAGTCAGCTGACCTTTTGTATCCGGGTGTATCTCACTTGATAAAATCATCTGAGGTCGGAAGTCAAAAGCCTGTTGCAAAATATTACCAGTTAAAAAAAAAGATACAAAACGTTTACTGGTTTTTCCTTTGAGTAAATTAGGAAAGGTTGTTTATTTTAAATTTTATTAGCCTAAAGGGGAAATTTGCCCTGAAGGTCTATTAATTTCGTTTTGGCATTTTGCGTTGGTTCACTATAAATGTCGGTTCACTTTTCAAATTGTTGCCACTGAATATTAGAGCCCTGTGCTGTATTTAAAGAAAATAAATAATGAAGAATCTCCATAAATGTATGTATGTTTCTCGCATTGGAATAAAATAACAGCACATAGAGCCATTAAATTTTGAATAACGTAATCTTCTACCGAATATGATTACCTCGAAGCCCGAATTTGAAATTTGTTTTGTTATAGATTTCATATATTGTATCACTTTAAAGAATTTTTGATTAACAAACTCAACGATGTCAAAGCGAGCAATGGCAACATTGTACGAAAAAAAAAAAAAAAAAAAAAAAAAAAGAAACATTTCTATCTCCAGCGCGCGAGACTGTGTATCTGAAATTGTACAGCTTTGCTCACTTTTAAATTATTTTGCGATATTGCTGTTGAGTTAAATTTTATATTTCAATTGCAAAGAACATAATATTTAGTAAATAAAGGTAACACACAAAACGTTACAAAAATGCCCCTTTAAACGTAACGCTAAATCTGAAAGCTTTTAAACTTTTTAACACTTTATTTATTTTTTATTATTTAGCCTAAAAGGGCTATTAATTGTAAAATACGATGGGTAGTTGATTCATTTTAAATGTCGTTCACTTTTGATGCATTGTTTCACTTTTCCAGATTATTGCCATTACATAAAATGTGA